ACAAATTGCTATGTTTTCTTAAAACCTATGACATTTTTAATTTCAAAATTTTGAGTTCGTTATAAAAACATTTATTATATTCAGAGTTGACTATATTCGAATTTAAATATGTATTGAATCTAGATATTAACTCTAGTTGATCTCTCAGATAAGTATTTTCTTTATATAAATTTAATTATTTTATTTTCTCTATTTTTATTTCCATAGTGCTGTTAGTAACTATAGTATTCAATTATAGTGTGCTAACGTTTCATTATACAGTCAACTCTTTCTATAATGAACTGAAGATTCTGGAAACAAAAAAATTCAAATTGCTATGTTTTCTTAAAACTCATAACATTTTTAATTACAAAATTTTGAGTTCGTTATAAGAAAATTCATTATATCTAAAGTCAACTATATTCGAATTTAAATATATATTAGATCTAAATATTAACTCTAGTTGATCTCTCAGATAAGTATTTTCTTTCTCTTAATTTAATTTTATTTTCTCTATTCTTATTTTCATAGTACTATTAGTAACTATTGTATTCAATTATAGTGTGCTGACATTTTATTATACAGATTCTATAATGAAGATTCTGAAAAAAAAGAAGCTTTTTATAACAAATTGCTATGTTTTCTTAAGACTCTATGATATTTTTTATATCGAACTATTATGAGATTTCAAAATTTTGAGTTCACTATATCCAGAGTCGACTGTATCTGAGTAAATCCCAATAATATCATTAATATGAAAATGCAATCGAGTATAAAAAAAATCACTAATGAATCTGATTATATCAGATTAAATTTGCCAAAAGCAAGAACAAAATTGGTTTAAAATTCTATTAGCCATTTATGTAAATTTGTTACTTTCTATTTGAAAATAACAAATTTATATAATAAATGGTTGACAAAACTTTAAAGAAATTTTTTTTTCTGATATTACTTGCTTCTGGAAAATTTAATCTGATATAATTAGATTCGTTTGAGATTTTTCTTATAACTGATTGTGTTTTCATATAGGAAGTTTACCTAATCAGCAATAAAAATTCAAGGATCAACAATCAATCAGATAGATTTTTAATTATGCTGATTATAAGAAACATTTGTTAAGTGATTTAAATTTATGAATAATTGTTATTATTATATGATTTGATATGAGCATTATGAATAATATTACCAAAAGAGAATTTTTTATACAAAGAAAGTGAGCTTCATATGGCCTAAGAAATCTGATCATAAACTAATAACTTGATTAAAGAACAGTCGATTATTCTAGTTTCAGCCATGCATTTTTGAAAGTTCACAGTCTGTTGTGTCAAAGTTTTAGATTCGGTAAGATGTACAGGTTTTTTTTCTAATAACATTCTATTTTATTTGTCAATTTAGGTTGGCGAGTGCTATTTTCTTGGCAATTGTAATTAATGATTGTCACAACTGATGCCGAAATTTGGAGTTGTGATTTGAAAATGTAAGCTTTGCTAATATACACTTTATTTGTCAATTCTAGTCCAAAATTCTAATCCAAACCTAAAAAAAAGTGAAAAAACACCCCAAAAATTTAAATTTTCATATCAAAATAGGTGCAAATTTAGCATCAGCCGCAACAGTGATTTAAAGACATTTACTTATCTATTTATTACCATTCCTTTCATTCTTTTACATAAGATTAACTTTGTTTCTTATTATTCCTTTTATTTGTTGTAAGATTATTCAGTTTCTGTTAGAGATGAGCTATTTAGAAATAATTTCTAGAAATACATTTAGAATTTTTTATTTCTATATTAGATATCTAACTGCTTGATAAACGGAGCTTAAGGAATACAAATAAGAATACAAAATGGGAAGAGATAAATCATGATAATTTATAGTAGAGCAATATGGTTATGTCAAATTCTTGACTTGCAGCTCCTCAACATGATTTTACAACAGTTAAGTTATTGTTTAATCATCGAGATTAATTGAAATAATCTTTATAATTATAAGAGAGCTGACACTTATTACATAAATATAACCTCTCTAGGACAGTCATTTGACACAATTACAAGTTCTAAAATAATCAATCGTTTGACAATTGCAAGCTCTAAAATAACCAATCATATAAAGTTTACACTATGATTACTTTAGAACTTGTAATTGTCAAATGGCTGACTCTGGAGAGGGATATATTTACATAATAAGTGTCAGTTCCCTAACAATTACTGAAAATTTGTTATATAAAATGTAGATTTTAAATTTCAGCAATTAGTGTAACTCTGCAAGTGTTTGGTATTATGCGGTTATTTAACTTGGATACTACTTAACCTATTAAAACCTTTATAATTATGATTCATAGTCATCACTCTCTTACAGATCACAAGATACAAAGGTATCCAACACAAATTAAACCCCCAGTAACTTTGTTTACGAAGTTAAAATCAAAACGGCAAATATGATTTCAAAATTATGCTTTTTAGTTCTTCAATGCTATATCCAATTACGTTATTAATCATACGTATCAATATATCACATTAAAGAAAAAAACAAACAACATTTTTTGTAACCGTGATAAACTTTCCGAGGATACTGTACTAGCGGAATGATCTGGTATTGTAAAATAATTTTTTTATACGTTGTACACCAGGCGAAGGATCAGTCGTGTAACATCGACGTTCTCTCCTGTTCGTATACGCAGACTAACTTGCTAAATCCCTCGGTATTTTAATCCACGCATATGATTGATGCACATGGAAAACCTGTAAGACGAATTTAAATATTCACTAAATTCAGAAACAGTATTATCAAATTTTCTGAGTTGAGTGAAATTTAAATTTGTACTTGCAAGTTTTCCATGTGCTTACTCATATGGCTTCTGGTTAAATATTATAGCACATTTCAAGTTTATTCGAATAACCATGCAAGTTGACAATAAAAAACAGTTTGAATGTTAAAACTAGTTGAAAAGAGAATTGTTATACAATTATTACTTTTGATCATTAAGTAGACGAACATTCATATATTTTAAGGTACCAACGATCCTGCTAATCGTCACGTTAGCCACCGTCTTCAAACTGTTAAAGAAAATGCTTTTTTTTTGAGCAGAATTTCAAAATTAATGCTCAGAAGTCTTTTTCAAGATCAAAATGATTTCAATTATTTTATACATACGCCTCTCTAAATCACAAGCTATAATACAGTAAATAGTTCAGTAATACATCTATAAGCGCACGCATCTAAGACCAAACTTTAACAACGTGCACTTAGAGAACAATATGAAAAAGTGTATTTATAAAAGTCATATTTTGGTCAAAATTTGTGCGTGCAACTAGTGAGGATATGCGCTTCTATAGGAAGTTTTACTGTAATTCTAGTATGACAAGTACAGTCAGGTATTTTATGCGATATAGAAATGATCTGCAATATACTAAAGGAATTTTTTATTATCTAAAAATAACAATCAGTTTTAAAAAAAACCTTTAAAATTTTCTTGCAAAAGTTATTCCATAAATATGTAGTCTAGGAACCCGTGGATTTAGGTAGCATTCCCACAAAAAATTGTTCATCCCCGGTAATTTTGACCAATCAAAATTTAAGTTTAGGTGTCAAAACAAACATGTTTTGTTTTCTAAGTAAAAAAGTTACGTGTAAAATGAACCCCAAGAAAACAGTATTATAATTAGGATTAAGATTAAAACAGTATAGCGCTTAGCAGTAAAACATCATGAGGAACATTTTTAATTAGGCCGCAGAAGGGTTTTCTAATTGAAATTTAGAGTTATCGTTATTGTTTTTTTTGTAAAAAAGCGATTTTTACGTTACACCTCATACTGAAATTCGATTGGTCAAAATTACAGGGGATGAACAATTTCGAATCCGTGCGGTTGTGTGCCAAATAATAACAGCCAATGATTGGTACAAATTTCGTACCATAGAATTAAAAAAAAAATTTCCAATTGAAGATCTTTTATCAAAAAGCGAACTGATCTGCGTTACACGAATTTAAGAGTACGAATCTGATTGATAGTTATTTTTTTCTAGAAGCCTGATAGATTTTATTGTGTAACTGAGGAAAATTCGGGTTAACTGAGGAAAATTTAATGAAATTTGTAAGCACGTTTTTTTTATTACAATATTATTTCTAAGAATATTACTACTATAAAATAGAAAGTTCTAGTTTACAAACCACCAAATTTTGATAAAGATTGACGGTGGCTTTGAAAAATTTTTATTAGTAACATATTTTTACTATCTTTATGAAATCTTTTGGTACCACCAAAATCATATGATAAATGATCGACATACCCACCCATAAGTGTTTTTTGGGGGTTACATTTATATCGGATATTATGTAATTAGGGTAGCTGCGCAGCGCATGGTGCCGCGCAGAACCAGTACGATCTCATGCAACAAGTTCAAAAACTCATGTTTGAATTCATAACAAAATAAAAACAAAATTTTATTTTATCAGCCGTAAACCAATCCTATTTTTGCCCGTCTTATTGATTAAAAAAAAACTCCTGACCAAATATAATGAAAAGTAAGTTATTATTTTGAATGCTTCAATCTACATTTTTCATTATGATCGCTCAGTCAGATGACTGTATTAATGCAAAAGAAAAAATACGAGATATCAGTCGCGAGCACACTCGCTTGCTATGGTATATAATGCTTTATAGCCAATCCTCATTTCATTGTAAATTTTCCTGGATGCATTTTCCTATGCAAAAGATACAATAGCTGAGTTAGTATTAAGCTGTTACAACATATTAGGTAGTCATAAATATGTAATTTGTTATAAAATATGAATAGTTTATTTAGACAAAAGCATTTAAAGAGATACTCTGACATTTTACGTTGTGCATTGCTATCGTCGTGGTACCTTATCATCAACAAGAAGTGCCATTGCTGATGTGGAGCCCAAATATCAAACAATAGATCCTCGCACTGCCATTATAACCCTAGTCCCAATCACCAAATGAAAGGCCTTATATCAATATTGTCATTAAGCTTACTTATGAAGCAATATGTCCTTTCGCCTAATTTAAGAATGAGGTTTCGTATTGCTCTTGTATAGGGTCCAGAATGGACCAGCCTGCCGCCCGTCTATTCCAGACCCTGCACTCATAGCCTCGGGGCCTAATCACGAAAGGCCCTCCACTATTATCATCATGGAGCTCAACTATCAAAAAAGATTCTTGCAGTCTATCAGTGCTGATCATCAAATAAAGGCCCTTGTACCACTATTATCACGGAATTTACTCACGAAGCAGTGGGTCCTTGTGTTGCTATTACCACGGAGCTTTATAACAAATACGAGGTACCTGCTTTGCTCTCCTAGCCTCAGAGTCTAATCACCAAATGATGTTCCTTGCACTATGATTACTGTTGAGCCAAGCCACCAAAGTTCTTGCATTGCTATCACCTTGGAGCCTACTCACTAAATGTGAGAGACCTTGCATTAATATCACAGCCGCAAAGCCAAACAAGTGATCCTTGCACTGTCATTGCAATTGTATGCTTAATTACCAAATAAGAGGACTCTGCATTGCCTGTAATAGTCGCGGAGCTATCGGTGCTTATTGATAACTAAAAAAGCGACAATACATTACCCTTAGTAACCTCATCAAAATCATAGTAATTCGATTTCAACGACCATATATAATCACATTAGCCAGCTTCTAATGAGGTGCCATAAGGACATGGCATAAAAACCATAAAGGTTGAAACGAAATTGATAGGATTCTGTAAAGTCCAATCTTGCATTTGACAAAGCTCTCCAAATTACTGTAGCTCCTAATAATTGTTCCTCACAAAGAAATCTGAAAAATTGACGCTTTTTTATGAATAAGTCTAAATATAACGGGTCCATATTATTTCGCTGACAAACACTTTAAAGACACCACATTTCAACGATACTCATGCACTGATAAACTTATTTTGCAGACGATTTATTTACAGAAAGTTCATTTCATAAACATCATATTTCATCAATAGCTCATATTACTTAATTCTAATTCCAAACTTAATTCTCACAATATTGACTAGTATTACTTTGCGAAATGAGCAGTCGGCAAAATATATTGTCTACAAAACAAACTTATCTGTAAATTAATCATCTGCAAAATAAGTTTGTCAGTGAATGAGCGTCAGCGAAATATGGTGTCTTTTAAGCAATTGTGGGTGTATTTATTGAAACCGAGACGAATCCATGCTCAAAAATACTAATGAAAATGATTAAAAAATTTGATCAGTAGCATTAGCTGTGCATCATAAAACTTGAAACTAATGATGTCAGTTTACATCATAATGATAAATTTCGAAGTTAGCTTTGCATCATAATGAGTGATCTACATACAGAATATAAATAATATGGTATGTGAAAATCTTAACTCCTACTAAAAAGAAATTTTGCGAAAATCAACATAAGCGACATCAAAAAAGTTGAAGGAAACCATCTCTCCACATTTCATGTTGCACATAAAACGTGATCGTACTGGTATAACGATAATTCCTGCGGTGTGGTTCGCAGGAGCTCTAACTTTCCTAAATTCTAATTGGGCACGTATAATGACCTCTTCTATTAATTCAGAATTAGCAAAATTCGATCATTCGGATAAGTCATTCCATATCTTATTTGTATCCTTGATTATCAAGAGAGATACCACATATAATACATCTTGTTTTAAGATTAATAAATAAATACAACTTTTAACTAATATTTCTCTAAGAATCAACTATTCTAATTTTTTTTTTACCATATGATATGGATTGGATCTTGATGTATCATATCTGTTACAGCCTAAATTAATATCGCAATGTGGATAAAATTATATATGTAACAGACGTACGAAATGCAAATAGAGAAACTATAGCAAATTGAAGCAATAGAATAGCAAAATATGGAAACTAGAAAACATTAAATAAACGAGAAAAAATATCATTAGATGGATGAGATTAAATTATAACTAAATTACAAACTATTCATTTTCTTCATCCAATCAATCCTCTTCATTCGTTTCTCTAGGTAGAGTATTCATCATTTTATTATATTTATCTTGAAGTAGATCATATTTTAGTACACTTTTTCTTAGTAACTAATTAAAAAATATATATATAACAGTAAATGTCAGGTTTTTTTAAAAAAAAAATAAGAATTTAACTATAGTTAACTATAGATATAACAGATACATATCGAATAAAGGATATAATGAACTTCAATTTTGTTCAAATTTTGTTATGTCTGTAGTTGACTATATCATTGAAAATCTTACCTCCCATTGATAATTGTCAAGATAGCATTCACTCAATAACGTTTCCAGCATTTGTACACGATCTTCTAGCGTGGCATTGTTACGCCTGTTTGATACTCTTTGAGACAGAGGAATTCCTGAGGACGAGACATATCGTTTTGCCAACCTAGTTTGAAGACTTTGAAAAAAAATTTCAATGTGTAATACGTATTCGCATATTTAAGTAGATAATATATCATTCAGGTGGTTTATTAGGTTAATTGTCGACAACTCATGGTATTTCCGAAATATAAAAATATAAAATTTACCTTTGTCTACATGGCATATATGTTAGAATATATTTTTGTAAAATGCCCCTGTAATTATATATGTATTATTTTATTTTAGACCATAATTAATAATTAAAACTTTAATTATAATGAAAGAAAGTAACACATGCCACGGAGATAGTTTTGGCATTCCAAATAATAAAATATAGATAGATTTCATAGCAACGTAAAAACCACCTATTTTTGCCACTATGTCCTGAACTTTTGTTATGGTTAATTAAGTGAGATCGTTTAATGCAAAGCGATAAACGCATACTAAATTACCTACATGAAAATTTTGAAATTTGAGTCTCATGTCGAATAGTTGTGGGTATTTTCATAGCAAACTGGACCCGCCTCTCATCACGTAGTTTTGGAAAGATTTGAAAACTCGGATTTAAATCATAATTTGGTAAATTAGACGAATAACCACCGAAACCCATTAAAAAATTTAGTATATTTCCTATGAAAGGAATAGATGAATATTTATATCTGTAAATATTGTTAATCGTGGGAGAAAAGTTGATTAAAGCACAATCTTCGGATTCAAAGGTGAAATTGTAAGCAAATAGATAATCACTAATGGTGGAGTTATGGCTAACACTTATATTTCCAAGTGAGATTTGAAGCACATTATCAGGTGCAAAAGAATTGTTTAAATAGCTTATTAAATCAAATGAAGAATTCGTTGTAGATGATAAGGGTGATAAGGTAATGTCAAATAACGCAACCAATGTAGGAAACAAATTTAAATAACCAGATTGAAACAGCATGCATCCTTCCTTATCTGATTGAGTTTTATTACTATAACCACGGCTATAATATTCAGAAATGTTAGTATAAAAAGGTGAACCAGTAAAGTAATTGATGCTATAATTTGCTACATTAGAAGAACAAAGGTAGACATCTGTTTAGTTAAGATAAGAAGATAGGCATTAATTGTATAAAACTGGCATGTAATATTATACGAAATATATTATAAGTAAAATTAACAGTTCATGCCTGGCATGGACGCATTAAAAGATATGTCTTCATCGGTTGTTATTATACCATACTGTTCATTTTTAAAATATGTTAATGAATCTTTAAACTGGTTAGATATGAAACATAGAATTGCAACTGACAGTCCAATTGCAACAATAATCCGGATATTTTTGAACCAGCGGGGCTCAGTGGTTTTGTCATCAGAAAATATATCGGAAAACATTTAATAAAACAGCCAACAGTGCATGTGAATTAAAGTTGCGGTTATGGTTATGCCGTAACTTATTTAGGAAAATTAAAGGAAATTTATCTAAATTGGAAGTTGCTGCAAAATTCTGTGAGACATGCAGAGGTGTGACGTGCAGAGATGTGATACGCAGAGTATTTATTTAAACTGCAGAAATTTACTTAAACTCGCCTTATAAAATATGCTTTAAGCCTTCCTTAACATGGTTCTCACTAAACCCTTGATTACATTTATTTTCTTATTTCTGTTTTTCGGAGAATTAAGTTTTTTAATATACTTGGTGCGCTTGTTTAATGTTATGACCTTTCATTCAATGCTTGCATTCAACTTATGGATCCCCAACCTTATTCTGGTATCAATTATGGGGTTGATTTCTGTAAGTTATTTTTTAACAATTGGTAAACGATTTTCAAGCATATCTTAATTATTTTCTTTTTAAAGTTTTGGTCGAAAACTATATTACATGCAATTGCCTTTTGGCTCTCGAATTTTATGCCGTTAGCGCTATCAATTATGGGAAGAAACTGTAATCTTTATATTAATATTTTTACATTTTATCATATTGATAAAGGAGTTTAACATTTTAAAATTATTTACTTCTAGCTATGTCGAAAGAATATATGTTTCTAGAAAAAAATGAAATTTATGATTACATGGTTCCACTTATAATGTTTTCTGCCCTTCAATTCCTTTATGCATTTATCATTGGTATACTTTGGAAAAAGAAGTATGCACATTAAATTAGACAAATTATGGTTTACAAAGTTTGTTTAATATAAAACTGGATTTTTTTCAATAGTTACTGGAAATTTCAACATAAATTAAAGTACGATTTTGGTGCTAAAGGCAAAGGTATGATTTTGCAAAATTAAATTTTTACAGATTTGTTTAATGGTATACTTAAATATACTTATTCATTTCGACATAAGCTTTATTTTCTATGTATCAATACGAGCTAGTCCTATACCAATCGACCATTGTTTTTATGCCTATTCATAATATGAAGTTTCTTTTCTCTAAATTTCAACCCCAAGATGTTCTAGATTTATCTAGGTTATTCTTACCGTATCAATTATATTATTTTTCAATTTATTACTGTACTTTTTTTTTTAGTTGGCCGATCATCTGCTTTATCATCATAGGGGTATGAATTATATAAAATGCTGATATAAAAAAAATAGTTTATTCTAATTTATATTTATTTATTCAAAAAAGATTCAACGAGAATCTCGGCCTATTATGTATATTGTACAGACTGTTATCTTTCTTCAAATTCTTATAACTCCTTTTGATTTTGGAATATCTACATATATATATTTCAAATACATGTCATCAGATATGTTATTTAATGATGTATTCATTATTTATATTCCTTTTTCAGGTATGTTTTTATTGTTGAATGCTGGAAATATAATGCATATAATTAAAAAAACATTTAATTCTTTTAGAT